TTTGGCTTGGGAACCGGAGGGTGGCCGGTTCAAGTCCAGCATGGACCATTAGCATGGAAGGTGGACTGGTAGCTGGAGAGGTGTCAGTTCACCTCCTGGGCACTGCTGAGGTGCCCTTGAGCAAGGCACTGTACCCCCCAATTGCTCATAGGGCGCTTTTCCTGGGGCTGCCCATCACTCTACCATCTCTCTCCAAAATGTGCATGTCTTTGAGCCCTCTGTGTGTGTGTGGGATTGTGGGTTTATGCATAAACTGAAAACATGAGTGTAAAAAGAATTTCCCCTTGTGGGATCAATAAAGGAAGTTTATATTTTTTATTTTAATTTCTTTAGTGCACGTGGCAGCGACTAAATGAGTGAGTGTAAACGTATGACAGCCTACTGAAAATGTGTGTTTATTATGATTCAAAGACTTGTATGGAATAGGTACTAGGAGGTGATGATATGAAAGTGCGAGGTGATTCTTTCTCCGGGAGCCTGATGGATTTATATATTCACGTAAACCCAAACGTCTCCCGGCTTCTGGGTGGAGATAAGGTTATCTAGGCCACAAAGTTGTTGCATTTTGATCGCTCAAAGCACCTAAGGTTACACAACATTTGGATTTAAGTGATGTGATGAGTTCCCTGGCTGGCTTTTATCCCCTTTCACCATCCATCCATTGGTTTTAGTGAAGAAAACAAAAAAACAAGTTGACACTTCACTGAGTCATTGCAGATGATGTGAATCAGCACAAATTTGAAAGATGTATTTAGAAAAAGGATGCTGCCAAGTTAGATACAATGTAAAATACACCCTGCAATCTTGCATTTACAACATTGATCGAGGAAGAAATTGCAAAACAATCACAGAGCACATTTTGTCAGCTAAGTGTTTATTATCTTATTATGACTGTAAATTAACCAATTAAAAGTTTATTTGAAACAATTATTTTCTCAATTAATAGACTAATCGGTTCATCCCATCAGACCTGACAAACCACAGTGCCCACTCTGAAGGGCCCCTTGCAGCAGCAGCTAGGCGTGGCTGGAGAGGTTATCTGAGGAACTGAGCTATCACTCAGCTCTCTCTGGCCTCCATCTCCGCTCCTACATCACAGCGCCTCTTAAACATGGCCAGATGTGCTGCTGGCATCAGCCCAGCTCAGCACTAAGCCACTGACTAACTCACTGCCTACAGAGCCAGAGACAGTACATGAAGTGATGCTGCTCTACTGAGTGCTGACACAAGAGGTAGAAACCTTTCCCATTAAGTGCACATTATTTCACCAGCATGTGTAAACCAGAACCTGTGCCCACACTGCCAGTTAAAGAAAACACAGTTCAGGCGATGCTGTCATGGAGGGGATCCAGATTTGTAATGTACATCAATTAAAAACAGTTGTTTTGTCTTGGATTTTCACTTAGCAGAAGTAAGTATTGTTAGAGGTCTTTATGTTTCCCATACACCTACCAGGCTCGCATCCACTGCATCCTGACAGACCAGAGCACAGTGAACCTCTCCCTCCCTACATCTTTCACATTAATGCACGATCAATCACACTTAGCAACGATTTTCAAAACCCCCGGCTGGCTTTCTAACCAGGTCAGCCTCCAGTGCCGTTGCACAACTGAGTGCTAAAATTGAGCGACATGCTTTCTAACTAGCCACGTAGGTGCAAAACAAACTCGGCTTCATATCATTAGTTCACACAGCAAGGAAGGGAGAGGACTGCTGGGTGACGTGGGTTGGTTCTTCAAAAGGTCACTGGTGAAAGTGTGTGTGTAGTGAAGTGTTTATGTGAAGATCTGAGGTGACATTTGAACCGGCAGAGCGAGTAGGTAGCTGTGCAGAAGGTGATAAACAGGCAGGTCGCAACCTCTTTCTAACTTGAGAGGCTCTTGGACAGATGCAGCAACTCGACGCACATCAGCACAAGTCCCACTCAAAGGTCCAAGTCAGTTGCTCCGGACTTTTTCCTTTACTTTTCCTGACAGCCTGCTAGTAAAATGTCTACACTATGTCTGAGTGAGGCCACTTCAGAGCTCCAAACTTCCCCAGTGTGGGATGAATAAAGTCTATCTTATGGTGATACGGGCCGACGCTGAGCAAAAAAAAAAGTGATCGTATACGCCAGATCCTGACTCCTGTGTACTCCACGCAGGTGCCGCCCCTCGTCTGAATGTTCCAGACATTTTCCTGTTTTCCTGAACACGTGCGTTTGAGCCGGAAAATATACCGGACCCAATTTTCTGGACATTTTCAGAAGATCATGTCTGAAAACGACTTTACTGACATCTACTGCAACGTATATTAGACGAAGGCCAGGGAGAAAGAAATGATTAATCAGCAGTAAGCAGCAGCACATGACAGCCAGGGCTGTGCCTTGCCCCTACCTCTCTGGGCTCTACTGCTTTATAATGCTGCTGCATACCAGCATACTGACCCAATTCTCTCGCTCACACTCACTCACTCACTCACACACTCACACTCACACACACACACACACACACACACACACACACACACACACACACACACACACACACACACTTGGCCCAGGCCCTGCTGCCTCCACTACTGCTCTCCCCAGAGATGTCAGGGTGGAAGTGGCAAAGACAAAGACGAGGAGAGGTGGAGGCCGAACGAGAAATGGTTATGTGAGTAAAGGGAGGATAGAAGACAGGCAGTGAGTCTGTCTATCTTGGGGATGAACACAGGGAAAGCTGAATAAGACTCTGAGGCAGGAGGCCAGTTTGGTGTGACTGAGCATCCATTGAGTGCAGCAGTAGGCTGCTGTATGGGATTGAAGATACACAGTCTTAATTTGAGTTGGATATGCCACCAGCACTGAAACCGCATGATGAGAATCAAAGAACTGTGATCCAACTGATCCCAAACAACTGAAAAAACTTTTAAGATGGACAAATATTTCTGTCTGTGTGTAAATGTGATGGACACAATGTTAAGTTGTAATTATATTTGACATGAACAGTTTTGGATTCAAAATAAGAACTTAAGTGGGCACTTAATATTTTCAGTCCTGGTAGGATGTCACTGAAAAAAACGTAGAGAACTGTGTAGTTTCAGAAACAGTTTTACGTGGTGTAAATTGAAGGAAGATGCATGGGGAATTTACTCTTGAGGTCCCTGATGTGGACTCAGTGAGGTGTGCCAGTTGTCTGAGCGGATCTGTTTGTCCCAGCACATTAACACATTAAGTTTTCTTAAGGAAATGTGAAGAGACCGAAGAGAAAAGAGCTGTCAACTCAGTCAAAGCCGCTGGAGAGAGACAAGCAAGACACTGTCTCGTCTGCCGGCACTTTTGTGTCTCATCTCAACACCACTCGGGTAATGAGGTGGCTCAATGAGCTACTCACAGACACACACGCACGAGAGAGAGAGACAGACACAGAGAGTTTTGTTCAGACAGCATGGCCAGTCAGGGGACGCTGCGAGTCTTGTGACACCCATTAGGGAGACGGTCAGTGTGGGGGAGAGGCGAGGGACAAAAGAGACACACACTCTGCCAGCTCGAGAGGATGCAAAGTGGAGGAGTGTGTGTCTGAGTTGAGCTCGAAATGTTTCACACATCAGGGCTATTCAAAAAGAGCACAGACGAATGTACTTGAAAGGCTGCAGCCAAACACAGTGTGTGGATGACAATATGTGAACCTGGCCCCTGCTGCAGCTGGGTGACACATTCAACACCCCCAAGGGTTCTGACCTAAAAGTTGACCAGCCAATCAGCACGCAGACCCCAAGGACCTTTACCGATGAGCCCGTAGATAAGCAGGCAAACCCTCCACTGCTACAAGGTCCAGCAATGGCATCTAAACCTCTCCTCTGCAAGTAGAGTAATATATGTATATATATATAAATATCCATTCATGTTCCCATGCATCAAATTATAATAAATATTATTTTAATAGATCCTATGATCAAGATTTCACGAGCAAAGTCTTTTTGTCTAGCTTTGGGGCGCAAAAGTCCAGCATTTTCCCTGTTTCCATCCACGTTTTGGAGATTTTCAATAAGTCATCTTTATTGATGAAGCAAATTTTTTAGCAAAGATAAAGAAAAATCTGGAATAATTAGTGTATTACACACAGAAAGATGCCTTAATAAAGTATGAGATATTATAATACAGACTCTAAAACAAGCTGCAGTAAAAGTCCTAGCTCTTTTATAGGACAACATGTGCAGATACAAGCAGAAGCAGAGGGGTCGATGAGGATGTATCTAAAGAGGTTTCTATCCGTTGGCTCGCTCAAGTGCAACCTGCAACATCCAGCACCAGCCTCATTTATGAAATCCACAAACTTCTTATTCTTTATTTTGTTGCACAAACATTGCAATGCACCTTGTTGCTTTCATCACAGACGACCACTACTGCCCTGAAGTAAGCACCAGTCTAGCCGGGCACCATATGGCACTGGTAGACATTTAACAGATTGCACGAGAGGCTCCACTCCCTCTTCGGCAGCAGCTCCCACCCTGTGTGCCCGTCAGGCGTAGCCAGCCCCATGAGGACAGAGCTTCTTGTCCTGAGGGCAGGGGCGAGGCTGCACCTAAGGTTGGTTGGGGGGGGGGGGGCAAAAATAACAAAGGACGGAGATGAAGGACAGTGTTGGGAAAGGAGGAGGAGGAGTGGCTGAGCTTGAGGTTCACTCAAGGAAATGCTGGTAGGCACTGCTTTGGCATGGCCCGTGGATGCATAGCAGGCAGGGAAGCAGGTCAGCAGGGGCTTCTGGGGCCTACAAGCCTGACTATATATGGCAATTCTGTAGAGCAGGGGAGAATCTTCCCTGCATACCACGCACAGTTTTTAAGAATTATGTATTTTTCTGTGTTATCATTACTTTCTTGTTTCTTAATCCCTACATCCAGAGAGAGGCACCTGAGATGTTTCAGTGAGCCAGCTGGTCCAGGGCCAACTGATAAGGAGAGAAGGAGAGAGAGATGCTCAGAGAGAATCTCTTTGTGCAGAGCTTTCACAGAAGCATTTTTTTTTTCAATAACTTGAGAGCCACTGTGTGTGGCAGACTAAAATGATAACATTTTTCTTGTGAATAGCTGTTTACTGTGACCAGTGAATTGCATTTGCTTTGTCCACCATTAACATGGTTCACCCACTGTTTTATAGCACAGAGAAGCCATCGCTTAAAGCTGCAGCAGGTGGGAACGCTAGAAATTGGACGTTAACGTTTTGGGATGGAGGCTCTCCCACCACGCAAGCACGGGCAGATGCAAGCGCTCTATACACACATGTGACAGATGACCCCCACGTGTATTATTGTGTTTACTGTTTCGATATTTCAGGCATCCTTATTTTAGGTTGCTACACAGTGTGAGCAGTTGTTGCCAATGCTGGAGCAGCGACCTTTTCTTGTCGGATTCAGGGCAGGCTTTCCACCGCAGGGAAGTGCAGCAGATTAGTCAAACAGCCAATGGGAGTCACGGGCAAGATTTCTAGAGGGCGTGCAATAATCTGGTCTTCTCTCAGATTTCTTGTTTTCATTATGCTGAAAGATTACGGATGTATTGCTCAATGACGCCAAAAATATGTTACCTTCCCCAGCTTTAATACATTTCGCTTAAGATGCAATAAGAGGGGTTATGCTGTTGCAGCTGCAAAATGGCACACTGTAATAACATTTTACAAGAAAGACTCAAAATGATATGGTAATGTTGCAATAAAGTCTCTTTATGGTCTAGTTTTTAGCACAAGTAAATGGCTGCGGCACTTTTCAAACGTATTAATCACTCTGGGGATTCAATCTGCATATTGATCCATGCTTCCCATTCCTGTCAACCAGCTGGCTGAAGCAAAAAGGAGCCTTTTTAAGCTATAACATAATTTTCATTATGGCCGTCAGTCAAATTCTGCTGCGCTGTGTTTTCAGAAGTTCCCTGTAATCTGGCTCCCCTCCAAGGCCGACGGCTGCCCTCTTGGCATGGAGCATGTAGCTCGAGAGCCAGCAGCACAGCGTGGTCACAGGGACCCGCACTCTGGATTTCAAGTCTTAGAGAGCAGCTCCGTTCTTTCATTTTCTGGGATAGAATGTAAAAGGTGCAAGCAACGAAACACAGCAGAGAGTCATAGAGAGCTTTTTGTGGGACCTCATGCTCGGTCAGCATTAATGGTCTTCATCACAGTAGGTATTATTTGACGTTTTTCCAAGCCATGCCAAATATTTTAATAGCAGAGTTTCAGGACCAATAACAATACCAGAATGTTAAATCCATGGACTGTCTATAAAGATGGATGACATGACTGCTTCCCAAAAGTGAAACCAAAGCATCTCAATTGCCCCCCCGGTGACTGACTGCAGTCTGCAGTCTCAGCTAAAACCCCTACCTCCTCCATTTCAGTGGATGGGACAAGTACAAAATTAAATGTCAAATGTTTCTCAAATAATGTTTTTGTCTGTATTTTTAATCACACTCATGTATTTCCAAATTGAATTGTTTAAACAAAAGCAGCCATGCAATAACCAAAATTATGATTTAAATCAAACTATCTAATCAAACTATAAATAAATGAGGCTATAAAATCTGACCAGATATTTCACACCAGCCATGAGTGGTTAGCAGGAAGGCAAATATATCAATATATCAGCACTTCTAAGGGAAACTGTTTCCCTTTTGCAACTCAAACCCAATTCTGAGTATCAACAAATATTCTCCAGTTTGTAGTAAGAGTATCATGAATGAGTAATAAATCCTTTGGAGGTGACTGATGATTATATTATTGTACAGCTGTAAAAAGCAAGATAGAAATGCGTAAAAATGCACTTGAACAATGTAAAACGTTTAAAGGGAATCAAAAGTCACCACAAATCAAAAGAGTAAAAAAGCTTGGTCACATTGTGTTATCTAAAAAGGCCCCTTGTAAACTGTGACCAAGTGCTTGACAAAGCAGGGGAAAAAAGCCTCAGAGGGAGAAGAGAACTCCACCCTGTTTTCAGTTGGGGGGCCTGTTGTGATTATTCAGTCGGTTGGTGTTTGAAACCCTGCGGACAAACACCTCCTTTCTGTCGCTCCTACTGACTTACTGACCGGCCTGGAGACCCGACAAGAGCGAGGAGACAAACTCAGCTTTGTGAGAGTGGAGGGAAAGGTTCTGTCTGGAGCTGGACAGCTGCTCTTCTACCACTTGCAGCCCCCACACCACCACCACCACCACCACCATACTCCAACTGCACATGTACACAGGCCACGTGCTCCTTAAACTGGTTAACATGACACTGATCGACACCTGATTGACAGGATGCTACTGCAGCAAGCTTCAGTGTTGGGCTACGGGCGACTTCCCTATAGACGGTTTGGCTTATCTCGTTCGGCCATGTCTTTGTGTCAACTGCAGGCTAATCTGACAGCCCTCTCTTGTATGAGCTCCATTCCCACACAGCAGCTCTTGCAAATAGAATTAACACTGGACAGTGAATGGAGGGAGAGATTAAAAGGGGACAAAAAAGAGGGAGAAGCACTAATTCTCTGTCCCACACGCCCGGCTCAAAACCATCTGGTGGGAAGATAGCAAGCGGGCATCGCACTTCCTAATGACATTCATCCGCTCTTCCTCAGAGCTGATTTCAGGTGTGGTTGTAGTATGAGCACATGCATGCAGATGGGTTTCGCTGTGTGAGCTGAGGCAGGGGGAGATCCTGGGGGTTTGGGGCACTGGGGGATTGAATGCAGGTCACTGGAGCACTGAGGGCTGTTAGAATTAAATACCCGGCTTAGCTTGCTGCTTAGTGTGCGAGCAAATTGATGTTTTTTTGGCTAGCCTGCCAGTACGAGCCTATTAACGGTGCTTAACAAATCTTAACACATCATATATGGCGGCAGGCGACAGAACAGAGCCCCCCACTGGTTAGCCAGCTGCAAAAATGACAACAAAACAAAGCCCTGTTGTAGCATTAGCTCAGGACAGATGACTCTCAAATCCAAGGCCACATCTTTAACTTCAACACGAGCACCCGCCGTGTCTTCCTCGGCCTCCTTGGCTGCATCTTTCAACAGCCGCAATGTTCATTCTCAACAGAGAAATGTGACACCGAGAGCAGATGGCCCAAAGAGTGGGATTCCCGTCCAGTGAACTGGAAAAGTCCTGATTTTAAAAACAGGATATGATTTTTGGGGGGAGTTTTGTGAAAAGAAAGAAGAAAAGAAATCAACCCGCAGGGGAAGAAAAGAAACGTGAGCTCAGCAGGATCTGGATTGTGGGAGATACTGTTTCTCCATCCTCGACAGGTGATGCAAGATTGGTGATGCATCATGCGACTGTAGACTGTCTGGTTCATTCTTTAAACACACACACACACACACACACACACTCCCAGCTGAACAGTCCACAGCCTCTGATCACACACACACACCAAAACAAACCAGAATCTGTAATATCACACCTTTCTTACAGCTTCACCATGTCTAATGTGGCGTGTTGGCACCATCTACACCTCTATAGTGTGTTATAATGTCACTCCCTTTGTTCCCAGGCTGGATGAGGACAGAAAAACAACACTGGCCGTGCACAAACCAGGACAGGCCATGCACTGCGCCTGTAACCAACCTTGTATACTTGTCCATAGGTGCCATTTCCAACCACCTCCACCAATTCGAATATCCCAGCTGGATCCTGGAAATAGAAAAACACAGAAATGGAGGTTTATGGATTAGCTTGATGAGGGATGTTGGTGTGTTTGATTTGTGAACACCACAGTCCGGTGGGAGCCAGCTGTTGCGCCCTGCTCGCCCCTACATGCCAAATGCATCCCGAACAAAGGAAAAAGCAGACACTGGCAACACCTCGCTACGGCTCAGCGGTCATTTTCAACCCGAGAGGAGCCTGGGAGAGCAGGTTGGAGCTAGCTAACATTAGCCACAACCGAGGGACGTGTGTTTTTTTATATCGAGGGATGTGGAATAAAAGATTGTTTCATGAAAAATCAGGCGCAGAGGCTCCACTCACCCGCAGAGAAGCCAAGTCTATGTCAACTAGACTTTTAGCCGGAGAGTCGTTCGCCATCTTTTCAAATAAAAGCCGAGCTTCCCGTCGCGTTTGCAGAAAATTGTCCGCCGCTGGAGCATCTGCGGGAGTGTTCCGGGCGAGGGGGGGAACTCTGCAGAGGCCGCGTCGCACTCCTCTCCGTGGGGTCCGCTTCTCGGGCAGCAGCCGCTGGAGCTCAGGCTACTCCATGTTGAGGTGGCAGCTGCGGGCTCCCTGTCCGCTCTCTGCCGCTTCTGGCCGCTGGGTGTCGGACGAGCTAGCACGGGCAGCCTAGCCTTCCGCTGCGGACCTTCAAAATAAAAGCCTCGCTGCTGGAACAATGCTTTCCTGTGTCTGACAGATGTGCTTTATTGCATTTACTGAATTTAGTATTATTTTATTTAATCATTGAATTATTATTATTAGTAGCAGCATTGTTAGTAGTGGTTGTAGTAGTAATAGTAGTATCGTTACTATTATTATTAGTAGTAGTATTTATAATACTTTTAATGACACTATTACTACAACATCTACTACTAATGATATTAATGATAACCATAATAATAATATTAATACTACTACTAATAATAATAGTAACGATACTACTATTACTACTACAACAACTACTAACAATGCTGCTACTAATAATAATAATTCAATGATTAGTCATAGCATTATTATTATCATTGCTATGGTTACTATCATTATCATTATTATTAGTAGTAGCAGTATAATTATTATTTTGCCTTGGTAAACTGTGCTGAGCTGATCTGTACTTAGTTCTAAACTTCACATTGTTGTCATCACTTTGTTTTTCATACTGTAATAGACTAATTAGTACACATTTCTATTGATATATATATCATATGAATATGATTTTTTTTTTTAAACTTTTGCAATCGTGCTGCATTTACAAGTTGCATTCCTGATAGACATTTTATTATGAGGTAACCGAGCTGTTCTGTTAGTCTGGGCGTCCTATTTCCTTTTACGTTGAAAGCAAATTGGATGTTTTCCGTTTCCAGCCTTCCTGCTTCCGTCCAGCTTGACGCAGTTTGATTGAGACCCGCACACAGATTAGAAGCCGGTCGGCCTCAAGCAGAAAGAAAAGGGCTGGGCCTCTTTTCACCGAGCATGGACACCGAGGTTATTGAATGCATCTCTCATAACTGACTCTATACCCTCACATCAGCCTGTATATAAGCATCTTCACATTTCATACTTGCAGCAAAGGAGAGCGAGGCACAGCATCCTTGTGCACATGCAACTTCACTGTCAATATTGTAATCATGGGTGTGGCATGTGAGCCATCTCAGGAGGGATGTTGTGCACGAATAGAATTATTAGCCATCATTAATAATGGAGCCAAATGTACAATATTGACTACAAAGAATATTTCATCACGACATGAGTGTTTTGTCGGTGATGATTCAGTTTGCTGCATTGAATGATCTTGTTAAGCATGTGTGTGTGTGTGCGTTTGCAGCATCAGCTTCCCATCATAGCAAATCAATGTGCACAATAGTGAGCTCTTAAGAGGCAGAGTAGCACTGCACTTACAGTTATATAAAAATAGGAACGTATATATTATAATATACTGGTGCTCGTTGTGTTGTGTTTTGGCAATCCACAGAAACACAAAAACACAAAAAATAATAAGAGGGAGTTTTTCAGTTATTTCTCATAACTCAGCTCTCGCACACACATTTGATCTGTTGGTCAAACAAACGTCAAGTCAACACTGACATGACATGACAGGACGAACCAGTCAGGCAGGGCAAAACACACACACATACACACACACACACACACACACTCAAGATCACACAAGCACAAAGCCTCAACTCTTAAAAGGTTACACTTAAGACACTTAACTAACGCTTAAGCTCTGTAAATCAACTTAAATCCATCTGCCAAGAGGTAAATCTTGTAGCAATGACACAGATACAGTAAATCCCTCTTCTCCTCCCACTGGCCCGGACTGTTTTCTGCTGACACACGGCGATGAAGTCACTGTTTTGCCCTGATTCCCATGGTTCAAGTGTGTGTGGTGACATTTAGTCTGTGTGCTGAGCAGTGTTTGTGGTAACTGAGCAGGAAAGTTTAAAATGGCTTACACTGCCGCCTCATGGACATGGGCTATTATTGCAGCAAGAAACAACAAAATACACTCACAAAAATGTAATAACTGACTAATAAGCACTAAAGACATAACAACAGCATAGCAAGTGCACTTTTTTCTTCCACATGGAGCTTTATTACTAACTCGTCGTCCAAAACCGTCACCAGGTGGTTGCAGAGTCTTACAACCGAGACGCTTCTTTGTGCCACTTGTCAGCAAGTTAATATTATAAATAGCAACATGTAATACAAATGTTCAGTTGCAGGTCATGTTAAGAACATTTACACAGTACCTTTCTGTTGTAGAAAAAAAACAAACCTTTAAAAATCTAGCGCCAACTTTCCTTCAACATCCCAAACCGATAAATGGAGTCAATGAGGCACAGCAACTAGAACAGCAGCTTCAGTTTTGAACCAGGGAGCGACCAAGGTCTTCTGTTCAGTTTTTACCATTTTGATGCAATTCAATGACATTTTAAGAATAATTTAGTGTCTTACAAGAAGTAAATATGCCTCAAATAAAGCAAAAATCTATGATAAAAAAGATATAAAAAGAGTTAACATTAATATTTGTAATAACGTGAATGAAAAATGGTCATAAAGATGTTTAATTTAAATTCTTGCTTTTTACTCTCGTTGTCCAAAAAAATGTTAGCATCCCTGATACACACGTCATTGCGTTTGTCTAGCGCAAGAGGTACAGAAAAGACAAATTTGAAGAATGTCACTGTTCACAGCTTTCATTGACAGGATGAGTCATTGTAACAGGTGATCCCTCCAGTGCAATATAATAGCTACATTACAGGGTATCGGGCCTGTATCCCTGGCATTGTAAGAGTACACCTCTCTGACATATAACTGTCATAAATAAAAAAGGTAGCAAATGTTTTCTCTATTTGACCTGGATTTGATCTTTAAATTGACCCTTTTCTCACCAAGCGATGAATTTGGCAGCTTTCATCGCTGCTGAATCTCATTCCGCTCTCTTCACCGTACCGTGACACGGCAGGTTTGTGTCTCAGTTCCAGCTCCCTTCCCCGCAACAGCACTTTTAAATATTTGAATATGAGGCAGCACTTTTCCAGTATGGCAGCATAGCCAGAGCCTGTCAGTTATTTCGACAAAGGTGGCTAAAATAAGAGCAACATGGTTACAGTGCACCATCTACTGCATACAAGCCTTTTCAGTCGGTCAGCTACTATACACCTCTGTCTCAATGAACCAAAGATGTTGAGACTATTTCATATGAAAACATTTTAGTCAGTATTAATCATTTTAGTTCAGTAGAAAGTCTGGGCTTGGGTAACCAAACAGGTGGAAGTCCCCCTGGTACCGTGCGTAGAGACGCCGGATGTCTCGCTTGCCGATGGTAGAGAAGTAGCGCTCCACCTTGGTCCTGTTGTAGTGGGTGATGCCAGGAGGGATGGACGGGTAGGTCACCAGCTGTTCAATGCCTGCCGCTTTGAGGATGTGGGGGGCATCCTGCTCCAATGTCTCGTGGTGGCCGACCACGCTGTAGTGTATTTCGCACGGAGCGCACAGCTCAGCGTAAGTAACCCAGTGAATTATGTGCTCGCCAAACTGTCGGTCCATGCGTCGACGTCCCTCCGCGTCACCCAAGTAACGGACAAAGTCATCAAAGTGCAGGCCAGACGCGGCGAGGCTGCTGTCACGGTGGCTCTTGCGGTATTTGCGGATGATGGCGGGAGCAATGTCATGTTTGTACCAGGGCTCGAAGCGAGGGTTCTTCACAAACTTGTCCTTGAATGCAGAAATGAGCCGCTCAAAGGGATCCCTCACAATGAAGAACTTAAAGTAGGTGTTTAATCTGTTGAAGAAGGATTCAGGAGGAAATAGTCAAAGAAGACATATGAGCATTTCTGCCATTTTACTGACCATAAGAAAATCTTTTCATAAATCTAGCTCCTTTAAATTAAACCCAGATTTGTAAGCCAATCAATACTCACCGTAAGTTTTTGAGGACATCTACTATGACCACTACCATTTTTCCTTTACTGGCCAAGACAAGTCATCATTTATCACCAAAATTGCAAACTAACCTGTGAGTTATTTCCTGTGGTGTGAGCGATGACAGGCGGGGCAGGCCGTTTTTCTCGTGGTCGTGAACAAGGTTTTCTGGAATCTCATTCACAGAGGAGAATGCTCCTGTCGTCAACAACAACATAAATCATTGATTTAATCAGCGAACTCAAAATATTTAGAGCATTGATGTTTGGCTTTATCCATTTGTGTGCAGCCAACCCATAAAATTGTTACTGGTGTTCATCACTATCATTTCATTATGGTAAATACTGTATGTTTAGGGATAACAGCAACATTTTAAAGATTCATATTTTTACTCCACTTCCTCAGCTAAAAAAAAAGGTCTGTCTTTCAAACACTGGGTTTCTAGACATTAAGATGACTGTGACTTCAATAAGAAACATTTAGCATCTGTGAGAAGCTCACAAGACTCTGATAATGAAAACATACTGTAGATGAAAGGACTTTTTTTATTACATCTAGAAATATTGAGCAAGATTTTTAAACACCTGAAGATGCAGTCAGTTTTAAACCTGGACGTGTTTGCAAATACAATTAACCAGAATCATTTGGCTGTTGCTGGATCAGACACCCATAGCCTGCATATTTATTTATTTACCTTGCACATCCCCCTCATAATCTACACTGACCTCATGCATGTCCTCTTTGAAATCTGTAGTAGTGACAAAGAACTTAAATCCCTGATTGTTTCTACACTTACCATTGAGCACAATGAGGACCTTCTTCCACTGCGTGTTTCCCACTTTCGGCGTCTGGCAGAACAAGATCTTGTGTTTGTCGCAGACAAAGATGCGGTCCAGGACGAACTTGCTGATGGAGACATGAGTTAAATTCCTGAGGCTGCTGTTCTTACACATGGACGAGAGCAGCTCTATTCGCTTATCGGCGACTGACTGCCAATCTGCCACTGTCGGTCCTGCAGTAAGCTGAAACACACAAACACGAATGCAACACTAATGTGAGTGACAGCCTTGCTCTTAACAGGATGGTGTTGTTTAGTTTAGTTAGAACGTTTTTAAAAGGTTTATTAAAATAAAAAGTGGAACAACAGAGATTATGAGAATTAGAATTAGAATTAGTAATCAGCTGTATAAGTCACCTGATCTGAGGGCTGGGGAGCAGCTTTTTCTTGGCTGGAATCTGGGATGGGTTGATTCACCTTGACGCCTGGTAGAGTCCAACTCTGACCACCCACCCTCTCTCCATAATCTGAATACAACAAATCACAGCTGGTTGAACATTGTATCTGCAACAAATGGCAGTCTAAGAGAGGACACAGCAGCTCACCATCCACGGCTCTGAAGCTGATGAACTTGCTGACGAACATGAGGATGAGCAGCACCCAGCCGCAAGCCCCGAGGAGCAGCCAGTGGTGCCGCATCGCTCCGCACGTCAGCCGAGGGCCATGGAAACACTGTGGAGAGCTCCCACCTGCACACACATGGAATCTTTACCTGGGCTAGCATGTTATTGCTAACACTAGTACCCCTCACGTAGATGTGTGCTAGCATCTCACCACGTTATGTGCATGTCAAGTTATGGAGTTAGCTGCATATGTATCCCTGCTTAGCTGCTCCAAAAGCTAAGATTGCTGCATTTACTTGGTTTGTTATTGTTAGCCATCAAATGCTAACATAAACTTTTTCACACACAGCAGTCACTGTTAACTGTATTTAATAAAGCTAACTGATAGTTAGCCTTCCAAACAGCTCTACGTGTCCCCTCACCACGTTACATCCCTGTTAAGTTATGGAGTTAGCGACACATATACATCCCTGCTTAGCTGCTAATGTGATAAGCTATGACCAAAAGCTAACATTACTGCATTCATTCGTTTGGTATGGTTAGCCACCAAATGCTAACACAAACCTACACACAGCAGCCACTGTTAACTGTATTTAATAAAACTAACAGTTAGTTATCATAGTTAGCCTTCGATTAGCTATACCTGTCACCGTATGTAAAGGTTTGCTAGCACCTCACCACGTTATATCCCTGTTACGTTTTGCAGTAAGCTAAGCTACACATATATATCCCTGCTTAGCTGCTAATGTGATAACTGTATTTACTGAAGCTAACTTGTAGTTAGCTTACCAACTAGCCATTCCTGTCCCTCCCAGACAACTACTACGCTAGTTTTTTATCGCTTCGCACGTTAAAGCCGTCACACACACTCTCTCTATCTCTCTCTTCTTACCTTTTTATTCGAGTTACATTTATTTCAAAGCTGCACAAACTCTGGGAAACACGCCGGACATGTTACTGCGCCCTGTTTGTTCTTCTTTAACCTAGTTTGCACGATGCCACGCCTACTTCCGTTGGTTGGAGCTGATAGGACCCGGTGTAGTCCCGAGTTCCGCCTGTAACTATATAAAACTATATAATCTCCTTTGTTGGTGTTTATTCATGATCCGATGCACATTGTTCATGAATGTTGAGTCATCAATGATTTATTTGACCCGGCTGAAGACGCATTTCCTTGCGATCAGTCAATACTCGTTAGTAAAAAATACCAAACTGCCAAAGTCCCATCAAACTATGCCTGAGCTAAAACACGTGTTTTCCTATTACACTTTGATTTAAGTCTTTACTGTTGAGGAGCTGCTGCCATGTTATTCATGGCCAAATATTTCAGCATTATTAACCTTAAAGTGACACTTAAAAGATTTAGAATTTGCATTATCAATGCATTATTTGGCAGTTGTGGATTAATTGCTGAGATTTGCTTCTCCTACTTTTCTCAGACTAGATGAGTGTTTTATGTATGAAATTATCAATGAGTCAAAACAGCCTTAAAATATCAGTTGTATCAGTGTCAGAAAAAAACCTCGGGAGAAGATTCATTATTTGGCAAAGCAGTTTGGACCTGTTAAGATATGCACCGCTGTTGTCACTTCACTTAAATTACACACTAAATGAAAAAAACCTGCAATCTTTAATTGACATTAGTGTAATAGTTCATATATACAATTTGTATCAATGAATTGAACATTGGCCAATGTTCAGCTGCAATCTTTAAACCTGTGCAAATCCTTCCTGCTGATTGTGATAAATGTGTAACTGCCCATATCTGCTCAAAACATCTGGATGACATCAACTGTCCCTTTTATATTTACAGTGTAAAGGATTCCACAATGCTATTAATGACTAAAACGAATCATTTTTAAAGTATTATTAGTATTTAAATACTAAAAGTGGGTCTGTCTGTTGAGGATTACACCACAAATAACCATGTTACTATAACCAGGTTACTTTTGGAACCCTTTGTAATGGGGCGTTTATAACAAAATATAAGACACAAACCAATCAAACATTCAGTCGAGTGCACAATCAGAAAGAAAGACACAAGACAAGAGCTCTTTTTGTTTTATTTATTCCACTCGCAGAGGGGACAAATTTAGTTTTCATCAACATTGACTGTCTGCAGACCTGTTAGGGAAAAGGGAGAGTGAGGTGTCAATGAAATGCGGTTTTTGCTTTATTACTTGAATAGAGAAGTGTGTTAACAGTGTGTTTACCTTTGCATGTGGTGACAGGAACGTATGTGACGAGGGTGTAGAGTTTGTTGGGGGAGTCCTCATCCTCGTTACGCTTCCTGGACAGACGTACGCGTATCCTGTACGGCACATTCCTGCAAAACAACGCAAAATAGATACAAATGTAAGTTACCAGCAGATGTGCCATAACTCCAATTGAATGTACGGAGTTGAGTTTAAGTGTCAAAACATTGTTAAACCAAGTGACAGAACATTATGTCACAATAGACAAGATGCTGTATCGACAAACCCACATTCACATGGTGAAAAATTCAGTGAACATATTAAAATTCTCTTCATATCACACAAACATTGGTTAAATTCAAACTAGTTCCATTACTCATTGCATTGATGCACGCCTAAATCTGTTGCCGTAATGTCACACAAAAATAAAAACAATACATAAATTGAAGTCACAGCTCTGGTCGGGTCTCTATTCTTCAGATATGAGCATTAACGGTGTCAGCTCACCTGACACCCTTGCTCCACACTGCCTTGTTGAGACGAGTGTCAATGCGCACATCTGGAGTTCCCATCTCCTTCACTGCGAACTTGCGGATCTCCTTGATGGCACGGGGGGCCCTCTTCTTGAAACCCCTGCAAGACATCACAAGCATTAACAAGAGACGCTGACACGGTTTCACAAATAATAATTCTTCAGTTTTGTCAGGGTGCACATTTTTATTTCTGTCAGTTCACTGGACCTTTATACTCTTCAGGCTGCTGTTATTATATGACACTGAAATGAAGTCTTGCAACAGCACTGAAATCTTATTTATACCTGCACTTTTCAGTGATCACTGACAGCATCTGACACTGATTTAGTTTCTGTTTGCAAACTCATGCTACAACAAATCTAAATATCAATTTAGAACATTAACACCAACTGGAGTGCATTTAAGTTCACATGGCCACAGCCTCCTGTGTCCTCATCCCAGTACTCACACTCCATGGATGCGCTTGTGCACGTTGATGGTGTACTCTCTGGTCACCACTTCGTTGATGGCTGAACGCCCCTTCTTTTTCTCTCCTTTCTTAGTTGGGGCCATCTGCAGAACAATAAATTAGTATGAGCATGTGAGCATGTCTAACGCTAACACCGCTAGCTTACACCAGTATTTTGACCAGGAACGAGTGCTAACGTCAACTTTGGCTAAGCTAACGCGAAGCTTACGTTATTTTAGACGAGTCTTAAGTGTAAACACAAGAGCACGTAAACAGAATTAAACTTAGACTGACTGGAACCACTATTTGAAATATCTGACAGTAAAACACGTCTCTGTGGATCAGACAGCACGAAGTCAATTCAGCCACAATGGCAGCTGGAAGCCACCCGGGCTCAGTCGATCCGAGCGCTACCATCCGCCGTCTTTAATCACATTTATCGACTTTCAACCACCTCAAAACTCTCTTAAAAACATAATACGGTTATTGTATGTGAGATTATATGTGATGTTTGGTGAATTACAGCTTTAATGTCACAGGATGGCGTCAGATTGGAGGAAAATAAAATCCCGCAGAAAATACTCACATCGACTCGGAGTTGAGACGGAAGCCGGAAGGACGGATCAGAAGCCGGGGATTGTGGGTAAAGGAAACCAGTCCGTTCCTTAAGATGCCCGTCAACAGCAGCAGCGCAAGCACGAGGTTCCTAGTGTGATAGAGTTAATATCTCATAACCAAACTAAACAGAAAACTTGGAAGTTGTATACATTTATTCATTTATTGAATCATGTGAAAGTCATACACTTCTCTTGAAAACAATAATTATACAATTCAAACAAAAGCAACTA